GATCACTATGGATGAGAAATGGATCTTTTCAATCCCGGAACCAAGAGACGATCAATACAGTGGAAGCACACTGGTTCCCCACCACTCAAGAAGTTTCGACAAGTTGCTTCAAATGAAAAGATTCTATATGCCATTTTCTTGAACAAACAAGGCTTGATTTTGGCTCATGCTGTTCCCAAGGGTCAAACCATTGGTGGCGACTATTGCCGACACCTACTCGAAACGGGGCTTTTGCCAGCAGTGGACAGGTAGCACCCGAAACTGGCAAATGTAAATTTCATATTGCGCAAGGATAACGCATCACCGCACACTGCCCGTATTTTGACAGTTCTTAAATGAAAGGGAAATTGAACTCTTACCACATCCTCCCTGTTCGCCAGATCTCGCTCCGAGTGACTTCTGGCTGCTTGACAAGCTGCTCAAAGGTTCGTTTGCGATTAAAGAAATATCCTTCGAGAGAAACACTGGGCTCTGTAGTCCATCAGTGGTTCGAACACACACTCAAAGATGACTGCATAGTACTATAAAGACTGGTTAAAACGGTGACAGCTGCGTGTAGAGAAAGAAGACTATTTTGAGAAGTGGCTTTCGGAAACTTGGTATACTTTAGGAGTTACAGTATAACGTCACGGGCTTTCTGACAGTACCTCGTAATTATACCGACGGAGTCAATGTTGGAACAATATTGGATGTCTACCTCAGTCCATCATTGTGCCACGAGTTATGAATAGGGTTCCCAGAGGAGTCATCTTCCCCTTAAGGAGTAAATCTCTTCGATGGTAAATTTTCTTAAGATATCGCTAGGGATGGATCAGCGTCCCGAATGGATTCGGGATACGGAACTTTCTTCGCCGGAAGAATTGCTGGACAGTCAGTGGCGTAGCGAGGGGGTGGTGGCTTCAGCTCCCCAACTCTGGTCAAAATGCATTCCCTCCCTCGGCAGAGAGAAGTAAGGTAAATTCTAGCTCCCCCATTGGCGGAATCCTGGGTACGCCAATGGCGACAGTAAAGGTCGTTTCACACGTAGCGTGTCATGCGTCCTTTGCGTCAATGCTTGGGCAGGTTGGCAGGCGCACGCGTGCACGCGCACGTCCACTTACATCCAAGGGTTTTCACAAATCGCAAGGCTTGCGTTTTCAATTGAACTCATCCCAAATCCACACGCAAGCCTTGCGTGTTGTGAAAACCCTTGGATGTAAGTGGGCATGGGTGTGCACGCATGCGTCTGTCTACCTGCCCAAGCATTGACACAAAGGACGCATGACACGCCAAGTGTGAAAAGTCCTTGAGACATTCTTTCGCCCCTTTAACAGTTTCCTGATCTCATACCATCCGAACTGATCAAGACTAGATCAATCATTAGCAAACTTCTCTGCAGTCTTGATGTTTTGTGCTTGCCTTCGCTTGACGAGCAGTGCTCAGTCCTACAATCGGAATAATGACATTCAGCTTTGCAAGTTCTACATTACAAAGACGATTACTCAATGGATTTGACTGAGTATCCGACAATTTTCACTTTCCCCAGTATGTCTTATAGTTTTACAGTACTGAAAGGTATTATCTGCCCTCTGTGGAGGCTAATCTAATCAGGAAAACAGTGACTACACAGATAAAAGGCTGACTGCTAGGGCAATGGGGCGACTTCTCGGTACTATACTATGCACCTAGGACTTATAGTCAAGTGAGAAAGATTCCCATGTCGATGTCATCTTTCACAGGCCACGTTTGCTTCCGTTTCAATGCTTCATGTGTTACGTCACGTACGACGTCGCGTGGTAGGTCTCAATATATTTAATTTCTGGAACATCTACCTCGTAACTTTTTATGGGGAGGTGGCACTGACTTTTGGATGCATTATAGTTTCTGCATGGAACTTGAACGATTGCTAGATAATTTAGTTTTTCTTCATGCAAGCAAAATCTAGAGATAAATCCGTTTCCCTTCCGCTAAAAGTCCCAACATTTTCCAATGCACACCTACTTCCACCAACGTCTTACAACATTGGCAGATCACATACAAACACAATCTTGCGCATCCGCTCTTCACTGAAAAGTAATAAAGCACTTACAGCACTCTTTCCACCAACGTTGGACCTATTGATTCATGACCGGCCCACCTCGACGTTCAGCTAACTAGTAACACTTTGGCAATGTAGGCTCGATGCTTCACACTATCTGGGACAAGAGAGCTCAATAAGTGGTCCATCTTCTTAAGAGAGGGTCTACAAAATAAAACAAGTTGGGCAAGCCCAGTCCAGTTGTGAGCCTCCTTTCAGTTATGGAAACCATGATTTTGTCATCTATTTTAACAAAATGCCATCTCTTTCCGGTCTTCGACCATCAAAAACCTCATTTCTCATTTATATTTGGTAAACATAGACAAATAGTGCCCATTAAACGATGATGAGAGAATGGATAACTGCGTAGTTGAATCCATCCGTCATGAAGGTTGGTTGGGAACTGACTACTTCGGTTGCTGACACGGCGCTGCGTCCAAAGCTTCGGTCGCACGCGCATGCGCATTGTGATCCACATCCTTAAGGACTCACAGATACTCGTGCCTTCTCCTCCGTGACCAAATTTAACATCTGAAATTTGCAATAAAAATGCCAATTTTGGTGCAAATTCTCCTCAAAATGAACTCAGCCAGTATCTTGTCCATATCTACCTGCTTGTCAATTTTCGCATTGATTAGGCCAATATTTTTTTAGTTATCGTCGGACAACCAAGTTGCGACACACGGACGAACAGGATGGGACCATAAGTGGTCTCTTTCCTTTCAGGAAAGAAGGCCCACTAAAAATAAAAACAGCCCAGTTGACTTTTAGGCTTATATGGACTGTACTGAGACAACTATGGTGACATCCACCATAAGCCAAACCACGTGTTGCGTTTCCATGGCTACAGTATCATGGCGACTTGCTACACCTCATGTGTGCTCCTTCACATGCTCTCTGTGCGAAATTTCAGCAGGCATAACACTATTATAAAGTAAAGCCATGGGTAGGCTAGGTGAGCCTAGCTCCATAGTTCTGTCAATGGGAAGTTACACTGAGGACGATGGGGCCTTACATGCTATTCATGTCACCTAATGGTGTAAGAAGAAAAAAATATCACGTGGCCTAGCCTGTAGTATACTTCATTGAACTATGACCTTAGTAAGTTACGGCAGACTACAGGACCAGGAGTTGATAAGAAAATAGTTTTTTACTTTTTTTTTCTTTTTACTAGGGCAGCGGTTCCCAGACTTCTTTTCCATTGACCCACCTCCTGACAGAATATTTCACGACCCATTGGCATCCAGAATGAGGTATTTTCAAAGTAATTATGACGTGAAGAAAACCTATCGACGTTTTCTGCAGGGCTTGCTTTATCTTGAGTGGATGCAGACATAGTGATTTTCTATGCTGGGAAAATGTACGCAACCCAAAGCTTGGAAACAGCTGGGCTAGGGTACTGTAAATTGTGCAAGTAGTATATGCAGGAAAATTTAACCTTGCAATTTTTTTCATTTCATGCTAAATTTTGACTCATGAACCCCCAAAAAAGAACTGCTCTAAGAAGTTAGGCTTTTTCATGTACCACCTGATTACTGAAAGGGTATGTTTATTTGTCCATCATGAAAATAAATAAAGAGCAATATCTTATCTGTGAATATTATGGTTTAGATTAGGATAAAAATACTTTTTCATCCTAATCTGACTTGTTTCACAAAGCCCCATACCAGTTACCATGCTTTAGATATGGTGGCTGGATACATGAACATCTTTCATATTGTTTCATCTCTTGGCTGAATAGGGGGTAAAATGGTGCTTACATTGTGTACACATTCAGAAGTAGACAGGAGTTTATAGGCCAAATCAAATATCCTTAAAAGAAATAATATTTGCATGTGAAACTCCAAAGGCCTGTGCCCAGCAATATCTGCGATCCCTATTGCCAGCAAGTAAAATATTGGTTCATTTCTATGCTAGATTCATAGTGAATGAATGACTTGGGAGGCCATGGCAATACTGGTATCCATTATTAACCCTTTCACTGCCGAGCCCAAGTATGCTCATTTTTCAAATGGCCAGAAATATGTCCATCAGATATGCTAAGATATTACTGTTACTAAACTCTTTTGTTTATTATAAATTTTTGGTATAGAAAGAAATCCATACATGACCCATAAAACCAGAGTGTTCTCAAGGGACTGAAGTGATGATGAAAACCTAGCATGGGGCAAATGCTGTGCTATTCAAAACTTGGCGGTGAAAAGATTAATAGTGGGTGTGAACTGTGAGTATTAAGTGATGAGATTCATGTGTTCTCTTCACATAATGAAGATAATAAGGCTTTTGCATTGAAACATTTTTATAATGTGGAAGGTACATATGAATGATGAGTGCTAAAATGTTCTGAAAGGACTATAGTCACACCACAATTAAGATTCAGAGGAATTCTCTCCCAGATGGTACAACAAAAGTAATCCAAGAGTTTGACCAACTTGGATCAAACTTTCCAATGATTTTCAAATCTTGAGACATAAAAATGAAAAAGTTATCTTTAAATTTCCATTAAATTGTTGAGATTATTATTGATGAAAATATTGTTTATATAAATTATGAAATTTCATACAAATAGAATATTTAAATTAAGTATAATTAAAATACCATTAAATTTTAGCATTAATTAAAGTAACTTTGTTATTTGGGGAAGTGAAAAGTAAAACAGAGGGGGGTGATATCAGGCCTGTGGAGCATATTCATGCCAATTTTGCATAATATTTGAACCTGGGTTTGAATGGGTTCAGATATATGACATTAGCATAAATTGAGATTTTTTTCTACTTTTTACGTAAGGCCCAAATCAGAATATAATCCCAGGAAATCCATGATGGATATGTGATTCTCTCCAAAGGATTTGAATACTGGGAAGGAAGTCCATTTCTTTGGGCTTTCTACTTGATAGGGATGATGAAGCATTTTAATGTTATCCACCTCTTTCAAAAGTGAAAACATGGCAGATGATGTCTGGATGGAGAAAGCATTCCAACTTGCCCAAGAAGCCCTTGCTGCTGGAGAAGTCCCTGTTGGCTGTGTCTTCCTTCATGCTGGTGAAATCCTAGCAACTGGCAGAAATACTGTCAATGAAACTCATAATGCTACGCGTCATGCAGAAATGGAATGTGTAGATGATGTTGTTAGGAAGTGCAAGAGGTCTAACCATTCATGGTCAGAGGTCTTCAAGGAGGTGGAAGTGTTTGTTACATGTGAACCATGCATAATGTGTGCTCAGCTTCTTATGAACATTCAAGTTAAACGTATTGTGTATGGTTGTGGCAATGATAGGTTTGGAGGGTGTGGATCTGTTATCAATGTCTTTGAGTTTGGGACCTATCTGCCTGTGATCCAAGGTGGCATGAGAAAGGAGGAAGCAGTGAAATTGCTCAAACAGTTCTATGATGGAGAAAACCCCAATGCTCCAAATCCAAAGCTCAAGAATCCAAAAAAGTGAATGTCATTCTCCTAATTCTTGTACTGTTTCACCAATTGCCACATTCAGTGCAGCGTGAATATACCTATTTTTCCCCTATTCTTGTACTCATGTATTTATCCTTAAAGAGTTTCTCAAGAAAATAGTTGCTGTTATGGACACCAAAATTCTCCCTGTAGGTCAACTTGGATACTGCATCAAGTCTTCAGTTTCAGGAGAAAATAGTTTAACTCTGTTAAACATGTCAACCTATACCATTGTGATCACTGCCATCACCCTAAACCAGCTCAAGACTTTATGACTAACATCAGGTGCACCCAGTACATTTTGAGTCTCAAAGCAGAGAGAACCAGTCTGATGAGGGTGAAGGAACAGTTTTGATTCTATTGTGAATCTTCTGACTAGTGGTGAGATCTTTTCTCTGTTGAAAGAGGATGCATCCTCTACATCCTTTGATATAGAGGATCCTACTAAAGGATGTGTAAAGGATGTGAGTCATTTGTGCCTTTATAGACAAACTGTCTTACATGATACCATGTCTTTTGATAATTTTCCTAAATTGTGTAGGGTTATGTTCTATGTTCCATCCACTTTGCAAAAATAATTTTAAAAAAATAAATTGTAAAGGATGTCAGGCATTTTTCCATCCACATGATTCAAACAGAAGGGTCATTGGTCATAATCATTCAAAAGCATTTCAGAAGCAATTTTCAACAAGAACAGACCATCCAGAATCTTTAGTAGGCCCACTGGTACCTTACTGAAAAGCTACCAGCATCACCATCTGATGAACTGAAGGAGTTATTTTTAAATTGTCAGATATAACCCAATAATTTTCTCACTATGAATATTTGCAAATTGATTCTCCAAAACATTTTAAAATGTACAATAACTTTGAACATTAGTGAGCTATATAGGAATATATGTGTTGGCTGAATATGATTATTGGAGAAGTCCATGTCACCCATTCAGGATATAGACCTACTCAGGAGGCTATCTGTGAAAGAATAACAGACTGCAGATGGGTTAGTACAATGATTTTATTTGAGAGATTTCTGGTTTTTCTTCCAGATCCAACCATGAGATACAAGTATAGCCTACTGATGCAGAGGTTGTCTTTTTCAAAGCTAAGAACATGACAGAGAAAAACCACAAAGTCACATTCATAGGGGGAAAAAATTCACTAATGGATAAAGTATCTACCAATTGTCTTCTTGTGGGGAGTGCCTTTGCATCAAGCAACAATCTGAGGTTTTTTTAATATTATTACTCCTATGAAATGAAAATATTCATTGGCACATATTTCTTATAATTCTTGACTAGGTTGCATGTAACTATGTTCAATCTAACTAGAAAAAACTTAGAAATAGATTATTAACAACATAAAAAAAATACAATTGCAGGAGAGTATCATCCCCTTATCTTTCTTGAAACGTACTTCAATGTTCCCCTGCACATCCAGATGAGGGAATGGAAACAGACAAAGGCTTTTAGAAATCACTTGAAACATGCACTTGAACATCATTTTCATCATGCCTCAATAACACTGCATGAATTTCCAGGAAAAGAATCAGAATGGGCAAATGATGATAACTACAGAAATTGACAAGTCATTGTGACAAGACTATACAGAGAAAAACCAAATCAATTCCTGTCAAAACAATAACAGTTGAAGTGTTATGAGATTAAGGTGGACTTACATGCCCTGTTTCAATGATATGTGAATCAAAATGATTTTACAAGGGCTTATATTACTCCTACAGGTGTGAGGAATAACAGCGAATAGAACAATAATGTATGCATGTGATAAAGCTGAAAAAATATGGTCTGCACATAAATTCACCCTCTAGTGATTAGAGTTCTTTTGTGTGCACTTGTAGTTGTTACAGAACACTTCCAAGGACTAGGCCTAGATATTTGATGGCACTGGAACCAAAGGTGTTCAGAACATGCCTGGTGTATCACGCTCCTTCCTGCCCTTCTTTTCAAAAAACATAAAATCAAGCAAGAAAGTAGCTGCAAGTAGAGTTGCCTTCATTTTCACATCCAGATCCATTGGGAATGTCACTCCAAAGTTGTCTGCATCTGTGAATCCTTCTTTGAGTAGTCCACTCCATTGCTTGCTTATGCGACCAATATTGTCACCCCTCAGGGTCAAAATTTGAAATTCCACATCACCACAAATGCTCCATGTACAGATGGGTCCTTCAATCAGTAATATAGCATTGCCAGCTGCATCTTGAATGGTAAATTTTGGTGACAAGATGCTCCATTCCTGCTTGACAACTCCAATTAATGTGCCAGGTGGCGAATAAACATCCAGTCTTTGAAGACAGCAAGGAAACCAGCAGGAGTCGCAATTGAGAGGTCGACTCAGATGTATCACTTCTCGACCTTGATGATCCAGAACCTGCAGCTCAAAACATCTGTACGGGCCCAAAATGTTTCTTGTGCAACAATCAGTGTCTTCAGAAGCGGAATATATCTTCTGTCCCATACTATTTTTGATGCTGTACTTGTTTGCAGTCTCAAAGGTGGTTATGGCTTCCAATATTTCCACCTTCTGATGGACCAGGAGTTGGTCAATCGTAGTTAGGTATTCTAGACCAGGGGGGCAATGTGGACCCCCCGTTGTCATTTCTATTCCCACGTTATGGACATTCCAACCTGCAGCAGGCACTCCACTCATTTTCGTAGGTTTTAGTGGTAGGCTAGACCAGACCCTTTTCAAGTACTCACAGGATATGTCTACGTAACACTTGATTCAACTGGTTACTCGTGGCAATGGGGAACGACATGTGCCTGATGACGCAGCGTGTCGGTATTCAGGGATGCAAGATCCGATCGGGTCCGCGGTTCTACGGCCGTTTTTCCCGCAGACCCACTTAGGAGCGCATCCCTGCTTCCTCAGTCGCTGTCCTACTGCGGTAGAGTCAAATTTCGTTCCCCCCCCGTTCGTCTTACTGTGTTCGACTTTTCAAGATGCATCTCTGCTGGAGAAGGAGGGTTTAGAGCGAATCGCAGTAAGGTGATAGGTTAATCGATTGAAACCGCCCAGTTCCTGTGGACCATGTGACCTGCGCGCTTGTTCTCCCTTGCCCCTTCGTGTCTTTAACGCCATTTATGGTGAGTGTAGCTCTCCAACCGCTGACCCTGCAGCTTTCCATGTGAATTCGTGCCGTTCTTTTCTCCATTGTATGGGTAAGTGCATAATGTAACATCCAAGGCCATATAATAGTGCATTCGAAATGTACTGCGCACCGCAATTCCTTGAAAAAGATACTCGTGCTTATGGTCTCGCTCGTTCAGAGCGATGCGATAGAGCATACCAGGTCTGACATACAGCTTTACGCTCTATGGTTGAGTAGAAGTTTCGGCAGGTTTTTTCTCCGACGAATTACGTCGCATGTTTAATTCCAGATTTAGTTGAAGTATGCCACTTTTTTCCATCCGTGACGAGTGACTGCTGTAAGTTAGCTACATTCTCCCTAAACTCTTCTCCCTCCCAGTGATTCCGAGAGAATAGAATCGAAGCTTTTCGCAATGGAAAGTCCTGAGCAACCAACCTTTCCAGTTGGAAAGCCCAGAGTCATCATTATGAGCGAAATACGAACCTGGCGTACATTGTCATGCGGCCCAGAGACGCCATAAATAACATTGGAATGGAGGGGGACATGTAACTTCATGGGTTCCTTAAACTCATTTCAGTCCGCTGTTGAACGATAACTCCAATATTCGAGAACATATTTCTATCAGTTTGGCTGGGAAATGAGGCAATCTTTTTTATGAGCGAGTTTTTTGTTGTTCTCTTTACGTCTTTCTGTTGTCACGCGAGAAAATGTCTTGCATGGTCGACCTCGCGAAAACCTATGAGGATAATCCAGGAGATTGCGGGGAAAGGAAGAATAGAGAAAGAAAAAAAATCTCGATTATCTTCTTCGTGACTGCTTTTCGTCAAGGATGAGAAAGAACCGCCATGCCTTGTCGCACTTGGATTGGGGAAATCTCATTTCCCATTCCTATGGACCTATCGCTCTAAATATCTTTTCCTTTTTCTTTTTCTCCCCGTTCCACCAACGTGCGTAACGGTAGACTGATGTCAGGTCAGCCTAAGAAATACGAACGTTGCGTTCGAGACCCGTCTGAATAACGTGACCATCACAGTGACACACACGCTCGTGTTTTTCTTCTTTTTTTATGTGGTCCATCGGTGTTGATCCGGAACGTTGGCGGGGTCAGGGACCTCGTCCGAACGTGAATACCCTCCCGTAATGAGATTTCGCAACCGAGTGCGGTGCAGGTCAAGTACTCTCCTACGTACACCTTCTGAAATGATTTCTCCACTCATCTGTTTCCCCTTCACGGCTCCACGAAAGAAGTGACATGATCAACAAACATTACGGAATCCTGAGGGCCATTACTTTTGAGAGTTTCAACAAGAAGGGAATTCTTTTTGGGTGCGATGCTCCTTCATTCGGGGCATCATTCCGTAACGGTAAGAGGGCTTTCAGGCTGGGTTTGTCATGCACCGATGGAGAAGCATGAAGTTGTCCTTCATCGAAAGGGGTTTCTTTCATGCCATGATGCATTGGTGCGTGCCCGCCCTTAGACTTCTGTGTGCGTGGCATATGGGTGAAGTTCTCTCGCAACGCCGTTGTTGTTATACTCCAGTTTAAAGTTTTGCACTTTTGCTTAATGGATTTGGTCGATTAGCAATGGGAGAAGCGGGCGAGAATGAGGGGATAGAAACAGCCGTAGGGGCTGCCTGCCTAGTCCGAGACCGTAATGATTGCATCTTGGTCATTCCCAGTCCCAGAGGGAGACAGGTGATGCCCTGAGGCCTGGAAATGACTCGTATTCCCCCTCTTCCTCTTGCTCTTGTGTCTGTCAGCTCCTTATAGCTTCTTTCCCTTCCCCCTCCGCTCCTGGTTCTGTCGCCTTTGTGCGCTCTAATTCCTTCCATGTGTGCAGGCAGTCTTTCCGTGTTTCAGGTCGATGAAGTGACGAGGACTGCGTGATCGATTCCTGAATTCCTGAAAAGCCTCCGGTCGTTAATCATGTCCAGGGTGAGTTCCATAACAGTGCTATGCCCGATTTCCTCTCCTTTTCATCGGCGAGATAATTCCGTAAATGCTTCGATTAAACGAAGGTCGTTCGGTGAATTACAATGAGGTCAAAGGGATGGAATGAAAATTGCACCGACTCCCGACCGTCTACTCAATTTCTTGCTGCTTAGCCTGCACATATTGCCGCCGTATGGGGCTAAATATAGTGGCTTGCCGGATGTGAGGGACAGAGAAAAAGCATTTCAAGGCTCAATTCGGAGGCAGGAAGCTGGACCAACTGGACCATAGGGCTGCCTCATTTAATAGTATCACAATAGGATGCGGAACCCCCCTCCGGATGTATTCTAGTCTGTTGTTTCATCACGTCTCCGAATACCCCCCACCTATTCCCTTTGTATCATTGTTTTTTTTATTATAGGATTTTTAATCAACATCATTCGTCCTCCAGGAACGTAACAGTCTGCCGTGTCCGCTGTCGTGACCTTTCGATTGTCAAGGTTATCCGGTTTTTCTTCTCTCCTTTACCAGTCCCGTCACGTAGATCTATGTTGGACCGGTGAACCTTTGTAAAAAGTTTTCTATTCCTGCCTACCTTCTTCCTTGCTTGTCTTTTTAACCTTTATGCGGAACCGGAATCATGACAATGGGCGGCAGAGAATGTAGAATACAGTAATCCTTGCAGCGGGAAACACGAGGTGTAAAGTGGCTTTGCGAAAAGAGACGTTTGTATTCTGTGCCGCGAGGTTTTGGCATAGCTGCAATTTGCAGGACGGAAACTTGGAGCCAAGTTTCGTTCCAGTGTTTTGAGATCGGGGCATGTGTGAGCGAGACGGAAATCCTCCCTATGTAGGCAACACTTCAGTCGATGAAGTGTCGTCCAAGACGATTGTTTTGTGCAACTTCGCACTCTGCAGGGTGCTTTTCCTCGTCTAAGGTTGTGGTGGGTCCGTGCTAATGCAGGGTAATGATAACGCTCGGAGAAGGGAGGTACTCTATTTCGAACGAGGGGAAGACATGCGAGGCAAGAGGGTTCATGTCATGGAATATCTTCCTAATGAGCTAACTTGGAGAACCATATACGGATGTTTTGATCGGGTACTCCATCTCTGCACTTGACCTTCCCTTCGGCTACATCGTTCATACCGGTTTGAAAGCCACGTGTTTGGATATGCAGTAGGCAATGTAAGATGTACATTAGCATCCGATGAAGGCTTCTGAAGATGTGAGCCTGATGAACGCGAACTTCACGCATTATATCTATGTCTGTCGAAGAGAAGAAAGGACATCGGATTGGGGGGGGGAGGGGTTGAGAAATCCAATGGAGATGGTTGTCATGGCAACGCTGACTCATCTCTTCCCACAGAGGATGTGGAGACGGAGTCGGGGTTTCAGTTTTAGTTTTCGCCCAGAAACCGGTGAAGTTGGTTGCTTTATTTTCCTCTTCCCCACTCTTCATGCTTGCAATGGTGGGTGTTACTTCGGGAAGTCGTTCTCTTCTCGCTTCTACAGTACCCATAGGGTACTTAGCATTAGCTTGCTTTTACTCCGGAATATAGATTTTGCTCTATATATTCGTACATGCCATCAACGGAATGCAGAGTTCATAGAGCTAGCTCTCTTTCCCTTTCTCTCTCTCCTCCTTCCTCCTCTCCTCTCCGCTCCTCTACTCTCATCTTCTCTCCTCTTCTCTCCCCTTCTCTCCCTTCTCTCCCTCTTCCCGGCTTTCTCCATCTACCGACACTCACAACCTCCGTTTATCCTTTGGCTGAAAGGTGCTCATGAGCCGAGTGGGAGAGACAGCTCCCGATCACGCACACATATACGAGTATTTCTGTTTCGGCTTGCGCCGACGACCGTGAAAATTGGCAGTCGTTCTCTGTTCAGGGATTCCCCCACCAATATACAGAACAGTAGTGTAGGGACTTAGCTGGCGTGGTTCCGCTGTTGTCAGTCAACAGCCTCCGAGCTCTTTTGTGTCCCGTTTCCTTTTGACTGTCCTGGGCCTTCCAGCCTTCCCTCAGCTTTTGCATCGTGTGCTTCGCTGCCTTCCTCCCTTTTGTAATGCTCAGGCCACCTTTTGTGCTTTTCTTTGAGTAGCGGTCTCATTTTCTCTTCCCGTACCCGTGAGACTTCCGCTTCCTCACCCTCCCACACCCAGGTGCTTCTCTTGTTCGCATTGACAATATTCCATTCCCATGTCCGATTTCTTGACCTTGAGAGTGAGAGTGTTTCATCGGGCTAATTTTCTAATCCGATTTGCGCATTCGGTCTTTGTTGACTCCAGCTGTCTTTCCATTTCTACCCCAATGAAAACATCAAACACTGGATTGTGTGTATAGTACAACAGATGACCTCATCGGGGACCAAACACAGATGTACCTGTATTTAACTTTCTATTACGGCAAGAGAATTTCACTGAGTTTCGGTAATGAGGCATTTACATGCAATTCTTGCCCAATCGAGCAGAGACTGAAGAGATGTGTAGGCGGAACGCCTTCCTGGATCCAGTGAAAGTGTGTTTCCTCCCGAGGCCTACACAAATTCTTCACGTACTCTCCTAATATTGAGCTTATCTCTCGGGGTGTTGAGCGACATCCGAAGTCAATTCAGGCTTGGCTCCAGTCACCGTGCTTTTATTGGCAAGCTTCATTCCCACGTGCCCGTATTTATACGGATAGACACGAAACGGAAATCGGTTTGGCTAGGCCTCTTGGGAATTGGAGACGTGAGGCATATGGCGAGTGAGAGCTGGGAGGACTCGGAAGATTCATTCTGCGGGTTCTCATTAAGGGGTAGGCCGAAGAGAAGGTCGGAAATGAGAACCCTCTCTTTTTTAAACACCATAGGCCGCCCTTCATCATCTTCCTCTTCGTCATCAGGCAGGCGTCATGTGCTGCGTTTTCAAAACCACTGTGTAAAAAGGGAGAGGTAGATAGAAAAAAGGGCGAAACCTGCGCTGAAACGTAGTGACGGCCTTGAAATAGCCTGTGCGTGTGTTCCTGCTCACGTGCTGCTCCTCTTTCCTCCTCTTCTTTCCCCGAGGTATCCAGTCCAGCGCCTCTTGTGACAGTGAATGGACGGGCACATTCTCTGTTCCTCGAGTGCATTATGTGCTTGCAGGAGCACCTCTCACCTATCCTCACCCGTATTCCGTATTTGGCTTATCTTTAGATACCATGATCCTGCTTTTGGTAACGGTTGATGACATTCAAAAGAGAAAGTGCTCGTGACGAGAAGCGAAAAATGTTCAGTGACATATTTATATGGAGAGAAAGAGAGATCGAGAGATGAAGATAAACCTGTTCACCTCGTTTTTCCTTCTATAGATTCCAGTCCCAGGTGGTGTTCGGTGTCGATCATCGGCCATTCCCCAGTTGTCGGCTCCGACCAACTCTGTGGACAATCTTTCTGCTGGACTTCATCGCCGCCATCATGAAGGTGTTGACCAAAGAGACAAGTTCTGCTTTGGTCGTGCTTCTGTCGACAACTTGAACTCTACGTGCACGCTTTCGAATCGTAACAAAGGGTCTCGGCCAGAGAGACTAAATCAGACACTTGTGAGAGCCCCGAAACGAGATACGCACAATTCCACCTTCTTGGTGTCTTCGTCGCCTTGCCTGGAAGGCTCGAAGAAGAAGAAGACCAAAGAGGATCTCCCCTCGGCCTCCTCCTGCCGCCTCGTCAATTGCGTGGAAACAAGCAATTGGCCTCGAGAAGAGGTGCTTAAGCAAACATCTGGGTTCAGATGCGATTCCACTCCTTTGCACAACCTAATAGCAGGCCAAGATCTCAACAAAATCATCACAGTTGAGAAAAAAACTTTGAATTCCACCTTCACAGCCTCAACGGATCATGTGAAGAGGAAAACTAGTCTGCAACCCGAAATCCAAAGCCGAACACGAGTTGAAGATTGGCACAAGAAACTCGGTTGCCGTGTTGTGGTGGACGGGCAGCAGCCAGGCTTCCTTCGTTTCTACGGTCGAACTTTCTTTCATCCGGGGGATTGGTGTGGCATAGAATTGGACAATCCCGGTGGGAAAAACGACGGCTCAGTCAATGGCATCAGATATTTTACTTGCCCGCCACGTCACGGCTTATTCGCCCAACCCCACGTGGTTCAACTCCTCTCTCCCATTCAAGCAGAATCCAGCCCAACTGGAAGCAGTGATGGAGGGGAATCCCTAGGTCTCCTCAACATGGTCTCGAGTGTGAATTCCGATATCATGAGCGAGTCGTGGAATAGCAACGTGTCAACGTCAGTTTTAAATTCCCCTGGCAATAAGAACCTTCTGCAACAGCTGATATTGAAGAGCTACCCGAGTGGAAATAAGGAGGATGTCCTGAACGGAAATGGACAAGGAGATACGTGCACCGATGGGAAACCCATGCCCCCGATCATCGCAACGAGTGTTACCAGTATCGATGGGGATGGATATCAAGGAGATGCGGAAAATGAAGGTTAGTGGGTCGTCCTAATATGCCATTTCTCTCCTCTCTCTTTCTCCTTTGCTGCTTCTAGGCCTCATCCACCTCGTCAATTACCCTTGGTATGCCAAATCCCCCTGCAGACCTGTCAAATAAGTGGAACGATTGTAGCGAAAGGGAATGTGGTAGCTATGCAATCCAAATGCGACATAGTTCGTGTGATTTATGCCTGTTTACAGTAGAATGCTGCCAGTTGACGAAGCGGGAAGATCTTTAAATTGCGGTTGGCAGAGAATGACAAACAAGGGAACTAACTCGTTTGTCACTACTTTGTGGCTCTTATCGTGTTCACACACTCGTACACTATCTCTCACCCGCATGCGATAAGATCCCCCTATAAAGTCCTCATTCTGAAGGGTGCCGGCTAGCGTTGACGTTTTCATCCCGCACTCTTTCTTTCTCTGCATAGGTACGGACACCGGAAATTCGCCGACTGTAGCATCGAAGTCTTTCGTCCTGGGTCAGAGGTTAATGCGACCTCAACCTGATCCATTGACGGATTCCGATTTCTACAGCAGTTGTTGCAGTGAAGGTGAACCCGAGAGCATTGTGATGATAAGCAATCGACCTCTGGCCGTCAATTCAAACCCTTCCAGTCGGGTTCTTACCAGTCAATCCGAAATGGACAGCAGTGGGATGGTCAGCGATTTCTGCCCTGAAGAGATCACCGTCGGGAACTTGACCGTCATACATCGTTCTTCTACTGATTCCAAGATCCCCAGCGGTGCTCTTCCGACTGTCGTCAATAAAGAGAAAGCTGTGAAAGTTCGAAGAGAAATTAAGAGGGATCCATCTTCCAAATTGAAATACCCCGAGAAGAAATCGACGCAAGAGACGAAGAAAGGTCGATGGGAGGACGTGATGAGCTCGATCAAGAAGAACCAAGAAGAAGGGAAAAGTCGACCGAGACGAGAAGTTCTGAGTCGATTGATGGAAGGGGTGGTGGGGGCATCGAGACCTCCGTCAAATGCCTCTAATCGCAGTGTCGCTTCCACGGCCAATTCCGTCAAAGATACCACGAGCATAAGGTGAGTCGGAAACGGAAGTGTGCGTTTTTCCACTGACGCTCAAATTTCCGACAGATGAGTGATGGTGCGGTCGTCGTCAGGGGAGAGAGAGACAAGATAGGCAAAGATGATGATTCCTCTGGCCTGATTTACGGCCAGTTTTGGAGAAACCGCGAAAGCTGGCCAGAATCACTTTAATTGGCCCCCGTCATGGGAGGCCCTGGCCCGATATAAGCGACATTGATGTGGGAAAAAATAAACCCTACTTTAGAAAAAAATCCCTGCTTATAAGCCGTGGAACTCGACGGCTCTTTCCCTTTCGTTCAGGGGGAAGTAAATGAATAGAGAAGGCCTTTCATTGTTGACTACCTTGCTTCTAGTTCATAAGAGGTCTTGTTGGTTTCATAGGTCAAATGTTGAGAGTCCCTGCATGGGACTTTATGACTGCCACCCCGTTCACTTCTCGGCTGGAAACTCTCTTGATCCTTGTGTTGTATTTTGGATTTTGGTCTGTCCGGATCCTGTTAGACCTGGCATGCGGCATCATTGGGTTTTTCCTCCTTCTCTTGTGTTTCCTGGGCAGAGTGACGAGGGCAGCTCGACCTGCAACCCTACCCAAAGGCAAGAAGGCCCCACCGCCCCATGTCAGTGGGGCTGGCCCTCAGGGGTTCTTTCGAAAATCTGTCTCTATACTGTCCAGCAGGGAGACTACCAGACTCAACGGTGAGTTCCTCGGAGCTCGATAGAGTTAGGATCGATATAAAGATGGCTGACAAGGCTAAGTCCAGACGCTTGGCAAGACCCGAACCCTCATCCAGTAGACGTATTGCCCTATTCTGACCCATTACATTCATTGAGAACACCCAGGTAGCACCACATGTTGAATCAGCTTGCAATCAATGTTGCGTGCTCACTGGGTCTATTTCCTCAGTCTCTTTTTAAACATAGACAAGGGGTTGGGATTACAGGCCTAGTGTATCTTCACGCGAACGAAGGTGGAAGTGGATGCCTATTTAGAGTAGCAATCAAGTACGCAATATTGACAGGACGTACAGTAATTCATAATTATCTTTCTATGGGTCCTGATACAGCTGACAGCATTCTCTCCAGAAATGGCTGAAATGTGAAGACCAGTTTTATCCTTTGTCTTTCTTTATGTATCGGGGTTTTGTAACGTATACCTTGGTTTTCTCAAGACCCCAGAAGAGAATTACTACTTCTCCCGCATTCTCACTTAACTACTGATTTCGTATTCTTTTTTTTGCGACTTGCTCCAGGAATGCGGCAACGCAGTTGTTGATTTTTCTGTTCTCAATTCACCTTTCCCAAATCCCCTTGCTGGTCGTCAAAAGTGTCGCTGTCAAAGCTCGTAGATGGGTTTCATCTCTCTAAACCAGTGGTGCCCAACCTTTTCGGCTAGGGAGCCACATAGCTCACTCCCACTGCCATCGCGGGCCAGATGCAGTCACTAGTTTTATGGGAGACTATTTTAAGGAAACCTGAGGGTATTTATTGCGGGTCACTTGTAAGCACCTCGAGGGCCACTTTTTGCCCGCGGGCCACGGGTTGGGCACCACTGGACTGTCATTGAGCTGACGCCAGAAAATGGTTTATTTATATCTTGTACAATTTCTTTTCTGAACTTGGATATTGAATACATGTCAATTTTCCCAGTTGATAAGATTATTATCCTAATAATATCAGCCAACTTCATGTCTTTCTCACGTACAATTTGCGCTTTAAACCCTGAGGATCTAGTTCACGAAGGCCTTTTTCGATTTTTTTTTCTGTACTTTCTTTCAAATGCAGACTCTTTTACGTATGCCATTTTGTATAACTAAGGCATGACTGATTTTTTTAAGCAGCACCAATATTATGCCATGCAATTGCAGCACCTATAAGAAAGATTATCTCGCCAGTACTCACATCTTGTGCTTTTATTCCAAAGCCAGAACACGACAAAAATTTATGATGAAGTCACCACGTGACATGGCTTTAGATATGCCTTGAATTCCATGAGTTGTCCTTGATGCTGTCATATCTCTGCTTTTCTTCAAGGATGAGAAAGAACCGCCATGCCTTGTCGCACTTGGATTGGGGAAATCTCATTTCCCATTCCTATGGACCTATCGCTCTAAATAATGCTTTTTTTCCCCCCCCCCCCCCCCCCCCCCCCCCCAGCCCCGTCAAAATGATGGATTCCGAACTTGGTTTATTTCTTCTTGCTTTCTACTTTCATACCCGAAATACTCCGGAAAATTTCGGAGAACAAGCTTTCCTTTTCCCAGAGACAAAATCGTGGGTTTCAATTGGGAAAGTGAGAAAAATATTCCTATCGACTTTGTCGAAGTAACCATGTCACGTGACCTGGGCTCGTAATGAAGTGAGTAGGCCTAAAGGTGGGAAACAGTCCCTTCGAGACAGCTGATGTAACCGTTTTCTCTCACTTTTGTCTAATTTCTGCAGATTTGATTGCTATCATGCGACGCCTGCTCTTTCCTATTCAATTAATATCTCCCAGTGTTGCCGTTCCCCGTCGCAGTGGGAAAGTCTTCATGCCTCATGTCGAATGGCAAAATGAGAATGCGAGCAAGTGCCAAGTAACCGAAGTAAAAATCCAGTTAATTCAGAGGAATTCAGAGGTCCCCTCAATAAGATTTCCCCTTCTGTTAATCCACCTGTTTTAGAAGGCTACGTTGGCCCCAATTTCCCTGACAATCGTAATGAGTTAGGGCGCCATCCTGTTGGATGATTACCTGATCTTGTAATTCCAATCATTGCAATTCACAAAGAAAAATTTTCGAGCGTGTCCAGGTAGTCCTCAGCAGTAATGATTGTCAAATTAAATAAATGCGGACCAATAATGGTGTGTCCCATGATAAAGCACCACCCGTTCATTTTCGGAGAATAAAGAAATGTTAAGTCTCTCCAGGATTTTCATACCACTCATAGTCATCCTATAGTTGAATTTTAGAAAAGGCAGAATTTTTTAAATATATATTTTAAACACATTGTGTAATAATTTTGAAATTGACATTTGCCTTTAATAAGCTTTCATATTTGCACTGCGTAACTACCAAGTTTCGTTTTTCAATGTCAAATACTTTATGGGGCGTCCTGTATTAATTTTTTTATTGTTTCTCCCTTGGGGCGTTTTTATGAGAAGATCAAGGCTTCTCAATTCTCAGAACCCATCGGTCCTAGCGGTAAGTTCGTCGATAGCAAATATAGAATTTTGCAACATCCATTACCCTCATACTCGGTATCCTGCCACAATTCCAGGTACTTAAATACTTTATTAGTTTCTCCGTCTGGGAGGTGCCATCCCAGGAGAAAAAAAAAATGTTGTTCGTGGTGAAGGGACAATGCGAAGGGAAGGATCCGAAAATAGTGAGGGTTCCACTGGCCTAGTTTCTCTCATCTCTTTCCCAATATTCCAAAATACTCAAGTGACCAAGAGAAAGAAGAAAAATCTATTGTGGTTTTTTGACAGGTCGTCTCGCTCTGCTTCTCTCCCCTTGATCTCGAACGACGACAATTAACCCCATCAATTCCTCATTTCCAGTTTTCTGAAGTTTTAAAGATTAAAAAGTTAAACTTTCGCCAACGAAAGTGAACGATCGTGCAGGGGGTGGGGGGGGGGGGGTTGGAGGTGGGAGAAGGAGATCGATGGCATGATCACGTCTTGTGTGAGCCCACCCAGAGAAAGGAAACAAGCCGGCGAAGTTATTAATTACCGTCCTACCCACGGTTAGGCGTGGCATTAATGCTCAACCTTGAACACGAAAGAGTCGTTTCTGTTTTGTGGACCTGACCCGCGATCGAGTAGGCGGTGAAAGTTTTTTTTCGCTGAACACCTTTCTGTAACTTTTGGAACATGCCCTAGTCTGATGAGAGGGAGTTCATTAGTTCTACCTCTGTCCCCGAGATGTCAGGGCGGTGTGCTCTTTATTATTTTTTTTCTTCTCTATTCTAGGAGGGATCCCTCGTCGAATGTCATCGGGTGGTGGAACTTCTTTTTCTTTTCCAAGCACCATCCCCAAGAACAAGGACAGTGAGTTCCCTTCCTTTCCATCGAACCATCCCTATTCAGAGTTAAACTTCGGAAATACTGGGCGTGAGGGTAATTCAAGGACGAATCCAACGCGTCTTGCTAGCCTTGCTTCCTGGAAGAGTAACTCAAGAAATTATTCGATTATTCCGTTATACTGCGAGGTCATCTCTTACCTCCTATTTAAAAGTCGGCGTAAATTTTCGTCTCTGAGGGTCGAGAAGCAGAATAACATTGCTATGAACGTGTTTTTCTGCCGTCATCTACGTGCAATTTACGGGACGATGTATGCAAAGTGAGGGAAAGGGGCAAAAAAGAGTTGTGAAATAGCACGTGCATCTCGCGTTACTCTTGCTCATCATTGTTTCCTCTGCGTAGAGCAGGCTAAGAGAATGATGGATGTGTTGCCATGATTGGAAAGAAGAAATCCAGTTTGGTCCAGTCGAGACTCTACTTTACCTCCGTTATTCCAAGCACGTATCCCCAGATCCAAATGGGATTGAGCAACAGTCAAATGGGGAGAACACATTCTTCCAACCTTGTAATCATTCTACACCGGCACTTTTTTCACTGCTACTCCTTTTCTTTCCAGCCTGCTACTCGTTAGTTTAACAAGTCGGTGCTTTATTATCCCATTCCTATAAATAGATATGAAAAAATCGGAGCGTTCCCCCAACTTCCTTTATTTTTTTGTCCGTCACTTGAAATTTCTCGCTGCTGTCACTGTGCATTCTATATCGTTGGAAGGCTCTCTTCGTCTCCTCTGATTCAGTATGCAATATATGAGGACTTTTAGGAGTTTCGACTGGATGATCAAGGAGATCCAGGAGAGAAAATCCATCCTGTTTGTTGCTTCTCCTTCGTGCAGTCTCATGTGGAATGGTGTAGTTACAGCTGAAATTTACCTTGAGGAGAGAACCACCTTTTGCCGGGACTTCATATTACGAGTTTGGCATGACCCAGAGTCAATGGATTGGAAAGGGCCCTATTCACGTCCTTGAGGTTTGACCTTTGTCTGTGACCTGATCATCCATGGGACTGCATAACTTCATAACAAATGAGCCTGGAGAGGGGAAGGGAGAAAGGGTTTAATGATAGCCTCCCTTTTGAAAACTCTTCGTCCCCTTTCACATTCCGACTGATTGACGCATTTGACGAGTCGGAAGGACTGCTGCCGTTTAGGATGGATCAATGTCTTCATGCTCGTCGCACGTGAAGTGTGTGTATGCGTGTCCGTTGAAGGGAGGTGAAGCGGAGTAGCCCTTTGTAACGTAAGGGGAGTCAGCCTTTCCCCTTCCACCAGTCCAGGCTGCACAGGACAGAAGTGATAAGTCAGAGCTCAGGCCTTGACTAGTTAGTCTTTCTCTCTCGTCGAATAAGAACACCTCCGCCCGTGCCCACGGTGAAAGGCGATCTCTATTCCTTGTGAATGATGCATCATGTGTGGGTAGAACAGTGATCTCGATTTAAGTTGAGAATGGATCCATCCAGGTGCGGTTTTTTGTTCTCCCTCCCCCTATTTCACGTGACCCGAAATCATGAAGCATAATGGATCTCGCTACACGTATCCAACTCTGGATGCTTCTCATCGAAGATTTAGGTGAGGCAAAGGATGGCCTTTTCGGTATGAACTCTACATTTACTACGCATTTACCGTTAGTACTATACATCGCATACCCCTGTATTCTTGATAAATTTTTTCTGCACATTTTTCTTTCCGTACGCTGTCGAGTGTTCGTATCACGTTCTTTGTGATAACTTTTGTAATGTCATTTGGAGCCGAGCAGAAAATATATGCGGAGAGATTCTTCATTTAATCTCTCTCATTCCCAAAAATATGTCAAGACAGATGTTCAGACGCCAATTAATTCGAGACTGCCTGAAACACGAACAGAAAACGGTAATATCTGATTGCCACTGCCTTCTCGAGCTACAGAAGCTTACCTTGCTTTCAAAGTTCCTGTCGTTTACTCGCGAATTGTGGACTTTCCCTTCCTGAGTCTAGATGCCACTGAAATACAGTATATTGACTGGACAAGGGCATTGAGAATAGGCGCCTTTATAAATCCCACATTACGAGTTTCGAGGAAAGGATTTTCGTTTGACATGGACACCTCCACTCCATGGAAAAGACTCCTTTCACTGTCGAATTTGGACGGGAACGTATCTTCAGTTGCCGGATTTAGGGCGACGCGTACAATAGTCCCCGAGGTGTGACAGGATAAGGGCGCCATTACACCCGGCATCAAAGGTGCCATAAATGGTGGAAGGTGTGTGCTACTCTCTTATGCCTGGAATCCAACCGTGACATCCCTTCAGAAGGGAATCCAATCCGGCCGTGGAAAGCACGTGGAAACAGCGGAATGGGTAATGGTATGTCATCAATCGCGCATGGTTGCGCAACCCGAAACGTCGTCCATCCAATCCAGGGCAATGTCATCGCCTTTTTCTTCGCGCCTCCGATAGAATGGGGAAATAGATATATATACGAAGTCTCTGGAGTTTTTACGCGGTTCGATACAGGGGCTCCTTCCTTGCAATCTACTCTATTGAAGTTCCCCGAATCACGAAGCATGCGGTCATTACGTAGGGCATGAAAATTCGACAACCTGCCCTCGATGATATGCTTGGGGAATGAGAAAGGATATGAATTGCCTCGAGGAAGAATCCCGGGATACTCGAACGTTGTCCACGCATGCAATGAAGGCCTTGTCTACGAGAGGCTCTTGGACGAAAGAGGATTGCGACACGGAAGCTTTCCCCACACCTGTTCCCTCCTGGATCTTACTTTTCTACTAGGAGTAACATTTGTGTCAAGTTTGGAATACCTCTTCATCATTAATATTTGAAAGACTATTTCAGCCACCATGGGTCGTCCCCCCCCCCACTTTTTTTTTCCGCCTTTGCAGTTTTTTTCTCGTTAATTTTCTGGCACGTCTCTCCCCGTTGCCTTCGCATGGGTGGTCTGTTTATTATCGTTGTCTGGAAACTGGGACTATGACCCTGATCGGGTGAACCCGAAATCATCACATTATCCCAAGACCTCATTTCCCCCCCCCCCCCTCATCATGGTCGGATTATTCGGATTCCCTTCATCTCAGATGAGCGATTGGATGCACTGGCCTAGCCTTGCACGCCTGTCGTTCCTCATCGCTTCCGATCGTCATTCATGGGTACTCGACTTGAACCGAGACTGCAGAAGACAAGTGCCGAGATCAGGAAGAAGAATATGCATCATCACGTTGAGGTTGAGATGAAATTAGCCATCGATGAAAGGACGAGCCCCCTTCGGTGTTATAATGAGCTCTCAATCGATGATCGAATAGAAGGATCACTTGCGTAATTCTTTCCTTGGGCGACTACGCGAAAGGAAAATCATTTACACGATCTCTGCGACTCGTTCTTGTGAGCTCAATCTGTAATTAGCAGGTTTTCTAGATTGAGACTAGTCTTGTGAATAGAGATTTATATTTAAAGTAATGCACGGAGGACACGAGGATGAGTTCATTGAATTTCCTGAATGTTTACGACCCCATGAATAAAGGGAGAGTTGGTGACCGTAACTGACGGCCTCGTACAGTTTGAATGTCTAAAAGCGGTCGCTGCTCTAGAGTCCCCGAAATTCACTCAGCGATTTCCCACACACTGTCCCTAACGGAGCCGCTCTCGTTATACAATGCGTCCGTCGAGAGTAGAGATGGAATGCGTCTCGTCATGTGACAGTGGGATGTGTGTTCTTAGGTCCAAGGTCGTCAGGATTTCGGACCACTTTTGGCATCTACGGAAGTTGACTTTGGAATAAATCATGAGGGGAAATGATGGCGCAATCCCCGAGCCGAGGGGCTTCCTCTTGTCTTTGGCCCTGCCCTGTGCCCACCACCGCCTCCCCCTCGTTTTATTCTCTCATCGCCTTTTCTAACCATTCTGTACTCATTTCGCGCATATCCTTGATGTAGCGTGTGTGGTTCTCCGGAATGATCTTTCTAATGTTCAGAAACATGGGAAATGTGTTTGCTCTCATCCTTCGACTCGATAAAGGTTAGATAAGGTTTCTGGTAGTTCTTGGGGTGTACTTCTGCTGTCGATTCCCTCATTCTTTTTTCTGATCCAGTTTTCCTTAACTTTGCCACATATTGTGGAGCAAAATCTAATATTCTCGTGCCTATTGCAGAACAATCCCAGAAACCCGAAGGGAATCTGAGTGGATCGAAGTGGAATAAATTGGGAGGGAGACCCCAGGATGTCCTGGAGAAGCATGCTCGAGAGATGGAACGATGGAAGAGGGACTCTGAAGCCAAAACCCGGCAACTGCAGGATCTCACGATGAAATTCGATGCCATTGCTGTCGTCATCCGATACATGAATGAAGAGGTGAGGCGTGAGAAGACATGTTGATTGTGATTTTTGATCAGCTGCTCGGGTGGATTCGGGCACGAGGGAGGATCCAAACCCGGTGCACCAGCTGGCTGACCTTGTGCAGTGATTAATCACTTTCTCCTTATCTCAACCGCAGATGCCTTCTCAAAAACTCATTCATATTCATAGTCAAGATGGATATGACAAAGGCACTGCAGTAATGCAGTTTTGGTAGCTGCAAGACAATGTCCCTTTGGACCAGGGGTGCCCGATTTAGAGGGCTTGAACCGCCCACCGAAGGCGCAGCTAACTGCGCGCAGTGTTCCCTTGATTTTAGTAGACGTTGGCGGAATACTGTTTGTCTTTCTGAGCTCCTGATGTGGAATGAGATGGTCATTTCACACATTATGTAGATCAGGGGTGTACAACATACGGCCCGCGGGCCGCATGGGGAACGCGAGGCCCTTGTCCGCGGCGCGCCATGTCTGGTTGCGTTGTAAGTGCTACTATGACTCCTGCCCTGTTGGCGGCAGCTATGGTCAGCCAGCTGCGGCCCGGGGTAGGTGAGTAAAAATCGGAAATGACCCTCACAGCCATTTGAATTGTGCACCCCTGATGTAGAGGGTTGCATTGGATTCCCCTCGTTAGGCACTAAGGTTCCGCGCAGGATGACTGGAAGCCCTGCAGATCATGCATATACATGCACGGGCGAATCGAGAGGTTTCAAACCGGAAACACGCCATACATTGCGAAAATCAGATGTATTAGGAATGTGGGGAGTCGGCTGACTGAGCTTAATAAGACGAATGGCACGCAGTAATGGAATTGTAAAGTTTCCGCTCAACATCCCAACCCCCCCCCCATACAAGTTTTCAATTTTATTGCCCGCTTGTCTATGGCTCTTAGGCCGTGCGGCCCCAACGACAAAAAAGTTTGCATACCCTTAGACGGCTTCTATTTGTCAAACACGTCAATAGGAAAGACTAAGCAAGAAAGGCAACAGTCATTTTACAGCACTTAATGATTTGAAAGGCTGAAAAAACAAATTGGTGTCTGACGAATCCAGAAATCCAGTGATTTGTAATCACCTTCCCTTCTCCGACAGTGCGAAGCTTTCACATGCAAGGAATGGAAAGCTCGCTTCCACTCGTGCCTGACAGAACTGGAAGACACGAAAGCCAAGCTTCGAGACAGTCAAACTTTCTTTGGTAAGATGTGACTCCTTGCGATTCTGCATTAAATTAATTAAACAGTATGCAACAAGAATGCTTGCATTCTTTGATTTCAAGCTTTCATGAGATATCATTACCTCATTTGATGGTTTTGCTAAAGTTGCAATTTGATTACTGCCACGGGACTAGGAAACCTCGAGACCCGCATGGAGGAAGTTCAAGCTGCTTATGAGAAGGAGAAGCTCACGCTCATCAACAGCCACAAAACTGAAATGGAAGGAGGTAAGATATATGACTTAAGGCCTGGCACAGACTTAACTTGATAGTTTGAGCTATTTTCAGGTGGGAACAAAAATGAACTTGATTTTTCTTCCCATATAGTGACACAAAGACATGAAACAGTCTTGAAAGAAGCTCTTCATGGCCAGGAGCAAAGGTTTGAACGGCAATTGACTAGATTAAGGGAGGAAGGAGAGGAGGCATGTCGTCAGATCCAAAAGGAAGCTGATGAGGTGCTCAAAGCTCGAAGTATTCAGTGGGGGAAGGAGAAGGCTGAAACTGAGGCTCTTCTTGAGGATGTCAAGAAAGAACATGAGACTCTACTACAAGGTCTTCAGAAAGATACTAATGTTCGCATTCAGGTAAGAAATTAGCAATTTAGAATGGCAAACCTATAAAGGACTAGTAAAAAATAAGATTTAGAAAACAAGCTCTGCAACAGTTCCAAAAAAAGGTAAGAATAAAGGAAGTAGGGAAGTAAGATGCATGAAGTGGGATGATAATAAAAGGAATTAAAGGCAATGGAGAATGAAAGAGCTACAGGGTTGTCTAATAAAAAGAAACCCACTTGAAATTTTGCTATGAAATCCATATTTTCTCATGGATTGACTTGAAAATTTAATGGGAGATTGCCAAATATGTTATTCAAGAGCCCTTTAAATTTCATATGCCTACAATTACCCATGCCTGTGTTATATATATTTTCAAAATTCTGAGTGAACAGGCTTATGATTTGCAAAGCATGAATTCACATTTGATTTTTGCATAAAAAATAATTTCCTATGAATCCATCGTGAAAACTTAAAAAAGGATGTTATCGTGTTTTTCATTGTCTGAAAGTGCCCAGGAAATTCCAGACATTCCTGAGAAATGCAAATTTTCCATTGTGGACACCAAAGTGTACCAAAAAACTTTTAAAATCCCACACCATGTGATGAGGCAGACCAATAAATAAAATTACAACTATTCAACTCATATCATAGAGGTCCCATCTGGATACGAATTGTTTGATTGACCTATCATGTGAAAATGAATTGTTTGATTACCTATCCTGTGACATCATAAAACAAAGAAAGGCAGGGTATTTGAAGCTTTTGTTATATACAGGTGCCTGCACTGGATAATTTGATAACATTTTCATGGGAATGCCTGAAATTTATTGCACACGTGACATTTTTGGATGATGAAAAATACACATTCAACTCTGTCCTATCCATGATGATCCATCCATGTAAACTGACTTTTTAAGCCAAAAATTAAATGTGAACTCATGCCTGACAAATTGCATGCCTGTTCACTCAGAATTTTGACCATTTTCACAAAATCTACCACAACTCAAGTATGCATGATTGCAGGCATATTACATTTTATGAGCTTTTGAAGAACATGTTAGGTATGATTTCATTAAGTCAATCAGTTAAAAAATATGTATTTTATTGTAACATTTTGAATGGCTCACTTTTTATTTTACCAGCCCTGTGGCTTTGTGTCAAAGCCTTTCTTCAGGAAGACAGCAGAAAAAATACAGGAAGGGACCAAGGATTCTTTTTTTTTTGTGATCCCAATGTCCCCTCCTTCCTGTATTCTCTTTTTGTTATTCTTTGACTGAAAGCTAGTTTCTTATTCTTCCTTATACTCTTTCATCATCTAGCTTCATGTGTTTTACTTACTTCATTTTTTTATCATCTATTCTTTTTTAAGTCATTGCAATGCATTTCATTTTGTAACATTTATTTAAAATGGTCATACATAGTTATAAATTAATTTTAGCACTTTCCCAGTATTTTTGATGTAATAGTTGAAAAATATTGGGATGAACCTTTGTGGAAATGTATTCTCATTCCCCATATATTCCAGTATTCTAAAACACACTTGAAAGTAGTAGTGCAAAATAGCCCTTCTGGTGACTGCATAGTGGAAACATGATTGGATATTTTTGTGCTAGACACTTGCAAATCGATGCCAAGATTTGCAAAAAGACAGGGATTCCCTAAATGCTGTCCTGGAGATGCGAAGTGGAGAATTACAACAGCTTAGGAGTGAACAACAGTTGTGGAAGATCAAGGAGCAGGAGATGCTACAATGGAAGGACACCATAGCTCGTCTCACTGCCCAGAATGAAGATTTCCAGGCTCAAATTAACAAATGGGAACAAGTCCAAAAGTACATTTCGTCATGAACTGTGATCTTATGTAAACTGTTGAATGGAATCTAAGTTAAAATATTTTATGCATTTTTAGAGAATGGGAGACAAACTATTTGGCCTTAGAGGAGAGGATTCGGAATGAGTTCAAGGAAAAGAAGCGCCTCTCTATGCACAATGACATGCTTCAGTGGCGATTAAAAAACAAGGATTCCCCTGCACCAGGATCTCCTTATACTCCTGTTGTGAATGGCAATCATAATCACAACAGTCGTAAAAGCTTACCAGGAGGAAGGACAGAATATGACTCAGACTCTGATATCATCCAGAGCTCCCCAAGGTTGGTAGATAGATTTTTCTTCATTCACCCCATTCTCACCTAAGATTTATTCCATGATGGTTGTTCTTTTGTGATTGCTCATTGACAGATCCTTGAGGCGATCAGACTCTACAGGAATGAAGAGATCACGGCCAAGAAAAGGTAGTATGAGCCCAACGCCCTCAAGTGAAGGAGAGGGAGAGGTTCCCTCATCACCCGTCTCTGCACGCATCTTGGTTGAAAAGGATGCCTCTATCTCCTTTCACGTGGACTTCATATCTGAAAGGGCAGAGGATGATGAAGAAGCACAAAAGATGTTTTCGAAGGAGATGAAAGAAGTCATTCAAGTGTTTGAGATGAACCATAGCCCTCTGCAAGTCAATGGGCATATGGAAGTTCCAACTCTGAATGGAACCTTGACTGGAATGAAAAGGCCCTCTCTTGAACTTGACATGAAGGGTGAGGATTCTTCATTGTCTTTGTCATTGGATGAATTCCAGGATGGAGCTGGTGAGGCTCTGTTCAGTTTAGATGTCTTATCAAGTGGCCTCCCTTCATTTGAAGAGAAGAACACACTAGAAGAAGGTCAGAAGTTGGATAAGCCTACTTTGGTTGAAGTTTGCCCTTTTCTTCATGCCAAATCTCCCTAGTCAATGTGCAATCTTGTTTCATTTCCTGGAGAATGCCGCATGGGAAAAGCAAACTCCCTTGAAAGTGATCAAGTGCCAAATAGAGTTGAAAGTGATTGGTACATGTGCACAATGCACAGTGGTTGAGTTATCTTTCCAGCACTTGAGGGAAAAAATTTACCCTGGCACGTTGTGATAATCTCACATTCCTGACTGACACATAAGTGTTCAATTTCTTTCTCTGATGCATTAGATGTCAATCTTAGAGTCTCTGGCTAAATATGAGTAACCATGAAAGGAACGTTGTTTCTGTTATCCTAGACTGTAAGGCATCATATTACATCTGCAAGTTGTGGATTGTGCCTTTTCATGTGATTCCCAGAATAAAGGATTGAGTTCAAGGATTGAGTGCGGTTTTTCGCATAATTTCCCTCAACCAACTTTATTAAAGTAACATAATAATAAAAAAAAAACATTCGTTTGCAGCGTTCTAGAAGAATGTGCACCAGTTCAATGTGTCACTCGCTCAGGAGAAATCATGCTGTTGATCAAAAGCTTATTAGCAGTGGGAGTGCTAACCCAGAGACATGTTATATCCTACGGTAGCTTACTCTCACCTCTGCGAGGCTAGCACAGATGAGACGTGAACTGTCATCGATCCTCTGAAATTTACCTCTGACCCCATATAATCTATTTCTCCAATTTCTCCAATTTGGGAACATTGAGAACTGCTTACATTTCGAACGCATCGCTGTCTGGAAGCGATCTACGCAGATCTACGAAGTATTTTCAAAAAGTTTCCGCATTGATTACAAAAATCATAATGTATTTTGTGTCAGAACAGTAGAAAGGAGAACAATTTCGTGGCGGAGCACACTACGTGACATCTTGTATGACGGCGTATAGATCCAGTTCATAGGAATTACTCGTCGGAAAGGTATGTCGCGCATTGAGCTGCGGGTGAACGTTTTGAATGCTGTTAGGCAAGTCTGCCACTGACACATACCCCATGTAGGAAGGAATACTTTTCGACGTCGACAACTGTTTCCATGGCGGTCTTGCCTAGTTAAAAAACTTCATGTTCTCTCGCGACTCAAAAGACGACATGTTTTGGGCTGTCTACTCCCAACGAGTTGCACCTAAGAACTGGTTCTGAAGGCCACGCGCTGGCTACTGTATGCATCCATGCAAAACCCCTCGTGATGTGCAGGTATTCGATTGACATCAATCCGGAAACTTTTTGAACCTACTTTGTACAGAACCTTAAAAAATAGTGAACATAATAGAACCGAATACCACTTATGAAACGAAAATTGCATTTATTCTCAAAAGACTTGATTTAGTTAGAGTTAAGAAAGAAACATAATATTGAAAAATCAGGACTAGTACACTGTTGTACACAGGACTAGTAATGGATAGAACCACCATTGGTTGCAATAGCAGTATTCACTCTGTGGCATGCTCTTGATGTACTGAACTTTTGACACGTGTGAATATTGAGTGGTTACCAGACTTACAGTACAGCCTTGGACAATTGATCACCTAAGGAAAGTTGCTTCTTTTCACATTCTTGTCATCCTAAATATGTTCCATTGGATTGAAGTCAGAGGCGTTTCTGGCCAATAAAGGAAACTGATGTTTTGCTGATATGGAATTATTGCGTCGCAAAAATTGACCAAGTGTCATGGCGCACGACCAGATTAGGAATTTAAAATTACACTCAAAAACCTTTCATTTTAATTTGAACAAGATGCACATGCAGAAACATACTGTATTATAGAAACATCAATTCTCAATAGACACCATAGTTGCAAAGAGTCCATAGAGGGCAGATGATGATTTGATTGCTTTGAAACTTCATAGTTGACTCATTTTGTAAGAGTAGTGTATGTGCTTCTACGGTCTTTCTTCCTGAGCTCCTAGTGTAATTTCAACGTTCGACGTTGAAAAACCGGACCAGGCAGATTTCGAGACGAATTTCAAATGACTATTTGCTCATTTTCATTTCAGCAGTAGATTCTCCGAGGTGAAAGGAAAAATAATCCTGTAGTGCAAAATGGTTGGGATTGGTCCACCCAGTGCTGATAAATTTGACCTTGAGAAAATATTGCAAGATTTTTCAACCACCAATATACTTCCAGATTCTTCAAGGCTTGTCAGAACGAGTTCAGTGCGAAAATCGTAAAATATAATTTTTTTGTTGTTGTTCAAATTGTTCAAGCACCTCAGCTACGTTTAAGGAATGAGGTTCTACTTTAAAATGCAGCTGGGAAAAACCTATTGCCATGTAATGTTGCCATGAATGTAAGTGTTCAGATGGAGGAAAGAAAATATCCTCTGCTGACAGGTGATTGAGGGGATAAGGGTTAATGATGTTTCTACAGGGTGACCGGAAAGTTCGGAGACACTCAAAAATACCAATATCCCGGTGCCATAAAGAACAATAAATGTTTTTTTTTTCATAAGAAAGAACATAAGAAAACCTTCAAAATGAGTTAAACAACTTCGAAATAGCCCCCATTGGCAGCGATAACTTTTCTGAGGCGTTTTGGAAAATTGTCCACAGTTTTTCGCAGCTGTTTCACAGGGATTTCGTCCCATGCTTTCAGCAAAGTTGACTTGAGGCTGTCCAAATTTTTCGGCTGAGTAGCACAGACCTTTGCCTCCAAAAAGGACCAGATACTATAGTCCATCGGATTTAAATCAGGGGAGCAGGAGGGCCAAGCTTCTGGACCAATAAAATCTGGCAACTCGTGCACGCACCACTCTTTAGTTGACCGGCTGGTGTGAGCCGGGTCATTGTCTTGTTGAAATGTCCATGAAGAATCCCCAACATGATCCCATGCCCAAGGATAGAGAACCTTCCTCAGAACTTCCTTTTGATAGTAATTGGCATTGATTTTGATGTTAGGAACCACAAAATGGAAGGGTGCATTACCGTCGGCTGTAATGCCACCCCAGACTATGACAGACTGGGGTTTTTGCATTCTTTGCACAAACTGAGATTCTGACAAAACTCTGGACCCTTTTCGGGCCCAGACACGATCATTTTGGGGATTAAACGCTTGCTGAACTGTAAAAACTTTTTCATCTGAGAACACGATCCGACGGTGTGAGTTTCGCTTGAATCTCGCCAGTAGTTTCCTTGATTTTTGCTTCAGCAATTCCTTGTTCTTCTTCGTAAGCACCTGAACTACTCTTTTTTTGAAAGAGAAAATGCCCAACTACTTTCTAAGATAGGAGCGCAGGTTTCGCGCTTCATCCTCAAGTGCTTTGCAAGACTTCGGCACTTCCGTTCCGGATTTCGACCGAGAAGCTGTTTGTCGCGCTTTTGAAGAGCAGGATCCTTGAAGACACTGGGACGGCCACTTCTGGGTCGATCCTGAGTTGTACCATGTTTCTTGTAGCGGGCAATGGCTTTGTACACAGTGAATCGTGGCAGTTTCAGCTCCTTGATGATCTTTGCAGGTGAATGACCTTGCTGAAACATGTAAATCACAGCTTCTCGGCTTGGTTTCGATGCCATATCTGCACCGGTATGAGTCATATTTGCGATGCAAAAAGATTAAGCCTAGAGCTAGAATCGTGAAAGAAATGAAGCCTCGCACTTGAAAAAAATCTAAAAACTTTTACAAGTCTCCGAACTTTCCGGTCACCCTGTATAAGTGACATGATATCATCGAGCTGAGAGAGTATTCAACTTTCATGGTGCATCCCCTCCTGTCATAGCGTTTGGGTGGGTCGGCTTTTCCAAACATGTTTTTTCACAAGCGAAAACGGTAAACGTATAATATTTAACAGTTGTGGGCATGTAGTTCACTGAGGATGGATTTCGGTTATTAAAAAAATGGTACGTTTCGGTTAAAACAGCTATGGGCACATAATTTGAAAAGGCGTATTTTCACGAATTTTCTGATCCATCAAAACAGAGGGCGCATGAAAATTAAAATAACTTGGCAAATAAGTACCTCATGGATACCTGGGTTAAGAAAAAATTATACTTTTATTATATATGGACGATCGTACATAGCTGACTGACAAGTAGCTATTCGTATGCTGAGTTCAGGAAAAGTTCTACCTTGGTGATGAATGCCATAGGGGCACACCATTCGGGGAACATATTTTCAAAAAGTTCTATTTGCTTCAAACGGAGACACATGGAAAGCTAAACGGCACGAACGTGACTATTGACGCACTGAGCTCAAATGTCAAACGTCAAATTTCCAAAATAGTTTTGGGGTTCATATTTCTTGAGGACGTAACGTTTTTAAATAATTTTTCATATCCTACTGAATCGGGCTGAAATGGAAAAGTACTTGGCGCACGCATAACGGACGTGATGCTGATTTAAGGAAAAACTCAACTTTTTTTGTACGTCTCCTCAGAGCACAGCTTTTGAGTGGGTCGCTTTTACAAATATATTTTTTCCTCCAGCAAAAAGGGGAAACGTATAAGGGACGTACTTTAAATACTTGTTTGCCAGTTCGCAAAAAATACATGAATTAATCACTATCCAAGATAAAGGAGCGCCGAAGGCTCACCACCATAGCGTTTACCATGCGACCATAGCGAGTTTGTTGGCCCGAAGGGCAAAAAAACTCGCACAGGTCCACTGTGTTTCACTCGTTATTGGCCCCAAATTTTTCCTTATAACTTTCAAACTAATTGACGTAATGTAGTGAAATGTGACACAGACATACCTTGATGTATGGGAAGCCTGATGACATCATAGAAAGTGTTGAAAGTGTCCGCCATTAGCATCCAGGCATGCTTGAACGCGCCGCTCCATGTTACGGAAGATTTTCACCAACATATCGGGAGTCACAGCCTCAATTTCCCGCCGAA